TAAAAATATAAAGTGGTTATACATTACTAAACATGCATTCTTTGTTTCATTCAAGTTTACATTCAGAAAATATCCCACTAAATAAGGTATAAATAAATGTCATTTTACAAATAGAGATGTTTGTGTGTATCGACAATTACCTGGTAACAATGGATGTGAAATTACTGATGCACTTGTAGATTATATTATATATATATATCACACACACAAACACTGTACAGTGGAACCTCAGTTTCCGTATGCCCCTGTTTTTTGTATTTTTCAGTTCTCACTCAATTTCTTGTTCACTGTACAGGAAAATGCCATTAACAATACTCAAGACAAACCTTTGGTAAATTATCTTGCACTTTAAAGTAGTCTGATATTGATGATAAACACATATTTATTACATGGACCGGAGTTGCTTCATCTTCAAATTCCTCATCATCATCAGTGTGATCATATGACTGAAGAAATTGATGTGCCTCCATTGCGAATAATAAACTATTCTGCCAGAAACTACCAGATGCATCTGATGAGCAACAACAGTTTGAAAGGTTTTAGTTCTTTGCTATACAATGAAGTCAACAAATATACCAATATACCATACACTAAATTATTCAATGTAAAAAATGCTTAAAATAAGTTAAAATATATTTTCAAACAAACATATCTATACCTCAGCTTAGTGCCCAACTCCTTCATATCTAAATTATCCAGGGTGAAGGGTGGGGGCAAATCAACACACTATAAAATATTTAGAAACTATGTAATGACTTACCCAATTTCAAAAGACTATCCACAAAAGTACACATTTTATAAACAAATGCAGTATTTGCAGCTCCTGTCATGAGCAAATGAGTGCTAGTTGTAATAAGGTTGTCGAGTGCAGAGACGGCTATAGCTGAGGCATCGTCTCCTCCTCTCAACTTCCTCTTGCCACCACTACTACTCTCCCCAAGGGCAGGCACCAACACACTGAAAATTATCAATGCCTTCTAAAATATCAGCCTAAGACATACATTTGGCTTTTTTATATTAATTTTCACATTTATCTGGAGGAGGAAGACCAGAGGACATGATATTACTAATAAGTTAAACTCTTAACAAAATAAAATAGTGTTACCGAATCTTTCATCATTAAGCAATATGGCCAAAATTAACGTATGTAACCATCTTATAAAAATAGCATACAAAATCAGTCCTGGTAAAAACATTTTCACCAAACTATAAATCACCACTCAGTACCCTAACACCTTTGTGATAAATTAAAGAAGTTTTGACACTTAATATCTTAAGAAGTAGAGGTAGTTGGCATAAAGCCATAAGTGTTGACATGAAGGCAAAAGCATATCTGCTCAACATGTGAGTAAAGGACAGCAATATGTCCTATAGTTGGCTATCCCAAAATCAATATTACTGGCATCTTTATCATTTTTAACGTGTAAGGAATTGTAAATGAAATTTGATGTCATTTATGTATAATAGATAAACAGCTGACAAAGTTTAATTAAATTACAACTTGGCCAACTCTTGTAACACTTTCCAGTGACCACCTACCATAACTAAGCAACCTGAACAACGTAACCTGCCTTTACCAGGAAACCACAGCAAGCTGGAAGCAATGAGTTAGAAATAGGATGTCATCTTCAAAGCCAAAATAGTTTGGAGTCATTATATAAATGATTCCAAAACCCTGGTAAACCCCCTCTCGCCCTATCGTGTGATAAAGCCATATCTTATTTGTCTAATCTTTTCACATGGCTTTTGTGTATGGTCAAATTATTGATTTTGTGAGTAGTTCTGTATATTTGTATTTTTTTTTTAAACAGAAAACCATTTAAGTAGTGAATGAATTTAAAAATTTCTCCAATAATTTATAAATGATTGGAGAACTTTCTGAATGATTCTTTTTTTTAACCTGGGGATTGTGTTTTGGTCCACAAGGTTAAATATACAAGCCTACAGTGTTCTGCACATGATTAATTATTAAGTTATGGCAGCGAGAAGGGATAATTGAAGGATTGGGTATAGATATTTTACATTTTAGGATACAGTAGACATTCAAATTTTTCACTGCAACTTAAGACAACCTTTAAAACAACTGCAGGTAGATAGTGGAGTACATTCAATCTGATGATAACCAGAAAATTTATTAAGAAAGTCAAAGCCCTCCATGGTACTGTCATTACCCACCAACAAACGTTCTTGCTAACTTCCAGTTATTCCACTGACTACACTAGGCAACTGCACCAAACTTACAAGACGGTTCCTTAAATACAACTCGACTACATATTTTCTGGATACCTTGAGTGTGGCCATCCAAGAAAATTGTCCACAAAAACTGTCAACCTATTTTCAAACTAGAACAACACTACATACCTGTTGGCCCAATCTAAGCCTAGTAAGATTGTCTCCGAACTATCAAACAGGAGTGTCTCTGGACTTTCTCCGTCATCATCTCGTTCTTCATTGCTGTCGTGTTCTTGTTCTTCAACAGAAGGGTTATGAAGAACAGCTACCAATCTCAAATACTGAGCCCAACATTCACATAAGAAGGTGTCCGAGCAGAGTGGTGACAATTCTTCAGTACGGTCCAAACGGTCACTAATTCTATCCTGAAACAAATTATAAAATTTAATTTATATCAGCACACTGGGCGATCTAATTCTGTCATACGGTTATCCGTTTCCTACATAAAAAAATAATATGCATAACTACTTACAAAATCAATAATTTGGATATACACAAAAACCATGTGCAAAGATTAGACAAGTAAGATATTGTATGGCTTTATCACATGACGGGGGCGAGGAGGGTTTTCCCCAGTCGGCACATAACATGATACAAACAGGGAGGTTAAATGAGTACAAAGGATGTAATGCCATCTATTCCATTTCAAGAGTTCTTCTACTCTCCAAATCCAGGTGGCAGACTTGAGTGAAATGTGGGTATAAGTCACTGTAATGAGAGATGTAAAGCTGGTGGTTGTGCTCCCAGGTGTTGTTGTGAGGTCTTGCTAATTCTAAATGATTGTAATTGGAGAGGTTAGGGTTGTAGTGATATTAGTCAACGGCAAATTGTTTTGGTGGTTATAATTGTAATGGTTATGGTTTCCCATCAGTGACTGTAGAAAAGTGATATCTAGCTCTTTATGCCCTACACCTTTATGTTATGTACATGTACTTATATATATATATATATATATATATATATATATATATATATATATATATCTATATCTATCTAGACATTCAAGCTCTAGGTTTTATCTCTTCTTGAAGTTGTGAATGGAAATACCTATAGCTTCAACAATCTCCTCTTTCAATGTATTACATTTGCTGACCACCCTTTCAGGAAATGAGTACTGTGTAACATTTCTATGACTTTACTACATTTCCAACTTAACCAACGTTCTCTTGTCCTATTCTCTCTAAATATAAACAGGTCATCTTGTTCCAGCTTTCCTCCCTCCATCTCCATTATCCGCTACTTCTCGAGCAAGTGCCTGCTCGACATTAAGTTGTTGTGCTTCATGTAGTCCCATGGGGAGGTGGCAGGCAACATACTTGATAGCTGGTTTACTAAATTTAAAAAGTATTTGCTGGGAGTTTCTGTGTAGTCCAAAAGGCTTGTGTGTCATATAGTGCTGTTTCCTTGTCAGATTATGAAAATGTCCTCTACCATGAGCTGCCAACCTGTTAATAGCCAATTTATCACTAGCTAATTTGCAAAGATATATGCCTTTCTGGGTCCCAGATTTGCATTTTGCTAGTGCCTTGGTCCAAATATGTTTTAAAAATTTAAGGATCCAGAGCACACGGCTAAGGGAGGCTACCAAACTGGCCATATTCAGAAAGGCCATAATGACATTTTTGTCGAAAATGGGCAAAAATGAGGAGATGCAAAGTCATCAGATGGGAGGCTGCTCTAATTAACCCATTAAATCAAGAGTACACAGTACTTAAGCGTTTTATATATGTGAACTGCAAATTACATTCAGTGGTTTTACTACATGTGAAAACTAAAAGTTCTGAAAGAGTAACCAGGTTTTAGAAACAGTTTACAAAGCAGTAAAGGAAATACTGTATAAGACAACATTGTTTAAGTCCAAGAATACTTACTTTAACTTTCTCCATATTTAGAGTAATTTCCAAAAGCAGATGTCTATTACTCTTTATTGTTGTAAGCTTATTGAAAGGGTGCTGCAGAATGTGCTGCAACAGACGTAATGCAATAAGGGGCTGGGGAGTACTCGTCTTACAAAATCGCACCCTGCGACTACTACGACGGCGCTCCTAGGGAAAAGGAAAATTTTAAAACGTAAAAATCACACACATATCATAGCCTTGGAGAAACAAACAGCACACTGCAGCAAAATATCTTCAGCCTCCCATTTCTTTGTTAAGACTGGATACATGATACTCTTTATTAGTAGCTACAGTACTACATTAGGTTTGGTTAGATCTGGTCAGGCCAGGTCATCCTGATCAGGTCAAGTGCAGATTTATTCTCTCCTCCCAAACTGGTGCCACCCATCCTAGCCCCTTGCCTCAGGAAGTGCTCTGTTCACTCATTCTCTCCCCTCAGAAACTGCATACAAGAGAAAGTAGGAGGCAATATGAACAGATGAGAACCACAGAGAAGACGTAAACCATGCATCAGGAGGAAAAACATTAGCCATTTGATTTTCCCCATAGTGGTGCTTCCATGGCCAGACCCAGATAAACTTCTCCATTACCCAGTAATACAATTTTTAACTGACCTATTGCTGATAATTTTTTTTATAACCCTCCATTGGTGTAATAAATGGAAATTTTCTCTAATAATTTATATCACAGAGAATACATCTTTAGGAAGCTTGCACGGCACATGAGCAGGGAATTCCAACTCGGAAGCAAAGTAATCCTAATTAAGAGGTAATGCATACAATATGAAACTACCACTACTACTATTGTTTACATTATACCTTGTTACTTGCAACCATTCCAGCACTGAAGCCTTCCTCAAGCCACTCGGACGCCAACTCCAAGATATCATCACTACGATTCCAGTTGCAAAGAGCATTAATGTATGTCCCGGGTAAATCATCATTTCCCTGAAAATTTATTAACAGTTATATAATCAGCAGACAAATTATTCATAGCTAACATCTCGGAACATTTAACCACATGAACACATTCACTGTGATATGGCATAATACTTTGCCGTTTTAAATCAAACAGCAATCGCCTGTGAAAAGACAATTTAACCAAAATCTTGAAAAACAGTTTTCATATCCTGTAAATTTCCTCTAGAAATCTGAACAGGAAGTATAAATTGTATAATAAATTGTTGTATTTGTTTTTTTATGCATTTCATTTACTTTTTACTTCAGATTAAGTAGGCTGTTAATCATGACATGTCCGATGGTTAGGCATGACAAACCAACAAAGGTCAGAAAAACATTAACATGTAGATAGTTATACTGTATATAGCATTTATACAATGTGATAAATGCAAAAACAGTAGCTTTTATTGACCTAATATTATTGGTGTGCATATTAGCAACATGAATATATCTGTGCATAGTGATGTTCTAGACATTCTGTGATAAATAACACTGACAGCCCATTGCACTTTCAAAACCATGGTAAAAAAACATTAAAATACAAAGAAAATGAAATACAATATATTCAATGTGTGCACTGACCAGTTGGTGCAAAATGTGCAGGGCTAGGATGAGCTTTGATAAATGGTTACAAGATTATTACATCCAGCAGAAATGCTTAGTAATTCACAAAGGTGCATAAACATGTAGACGGTTATATATGAAGTGTACAGTGTGATAATACCAAAAACAGTATGTTTATTGTTCAAAGAATATTGTTCTTTCGAGTTGTTCATTGAATAGAATACTTATTGTTCAAAAGATTATAATGACACAAATACGCACATATTTTTGTGTACAGTACTGATGTTACGCATGTTTTACTATAGACATTTCTCAAATTGCACACTACTGTATTGCATAATGTAACTGCAAAAACCAGTGAAACAACAAATCAGTGACCATAAATCAGTATATACAATATAAGTATATTCGAGACAGCTCCCGCCGCTTGCCTAGTCAGGGCGACCTCCTTGGAGCATTTGCTCCATCAACACTCGTGAATTGGTGATGACATCACAAGCCATCATCTCTGCCACAGCCAAAGTAACTGTTCTTCTGGTGATCAAGGAATGTATTTTAACAAAATCAGAAAGCAAAACAATGTGAATATTTTACTTGCACACCTAGGAGTTGTCATATAAAACAGCACAGGTATCAAGATAAAGTAAATAGACAAGCATCATTTGGTAACATCTTTAGCCTTATTTTTTTTTACAGTTTAATCATTTATCTCTGGGTTGGTACATGCGTGCCCCATATAAGTGGGAATGGAGAAATAATAATAATATTTAACTGAATGCCTAACCTGATCCGACTGTAGTGATCGAAGACGTGACAGGCAGTGACCAACCAAGGTAGGCACTAAGGTTCGGGGCAAGAAACTTGACAAGAAGAGTAGTGTCTGTGATGCATCATTGTTTTCCTGGATACAATGAAAGAAATGAACAATAAATAACAATGTAATACAAAAATATTTAACAAAACATTAAAAAGTTCAATCATGTGTAAGCCAATTTTATTATAAACCCAGCAGCATTTATACTTGTACAACAAACACACACACACACTTGTAAGAACAGTGCAAACAATTAGTTGGATTCTATCGCTCTCATTCATAAATCAGCCTTGGTTACACAGGGACGCATGAAGCAAACAAATGTAATACTGAATGTGATCATCCCAAGAGCACTGTAGACAATCAAGACAAGTGCCAAGGGGGTTTCTTCTGGTAAAACCACACTGGTGTCTGAAGGAAACAAGTGATGTAGACCGTATAGTGTTTGTAGACTGTATGAATGGTCAAATCAACACGTGGATTGCACTTTTTGAAGTGCAAGTCATTTCCTCCCAAAAATGCAAGAGAAATATAACACCGAGCTTGAATTTCAAATGTGTTTAAGATACATCTGGTACAAACTGCTAGGAGACAGAGCCCAAAGAGCAAGCTCTCAGTACCAGCAGACAATTGATAATTAAGCCCTCACTTACTCTAACATTCACTGCAGAAGGTAGCAAGGAATTTAAGTAGAGAGAGCAGCCAAGGATGGTAACAGTAATCCACCAAGGACAAAATGTGTGCATGTTCTCTTAAAACTACCAACACCCAATCTGTCATACATTCAATGAAATACATACAGGCAGTAAGGCAATGCCTATCTTTTTCTTTCTGGCTGGCTTACTGTGTATGAATGCATCATGGCACTGGGTAGTGGAGATGGAAGGAAGCCGATACAAACAAACCGTCAATACTTGAGCGATGCGACAGTGATGAATGCACGTCTCTCCTACACATTCACACACAGTCTAGACACTTAATTACTGTGCTGTATTGCAGTCTGTCCAACCACCAGCCCATGCATCCTTGCACTTTACTGTTGTGTCATTTTATGGCAGAACTTTCCAAATTATATATACCCTTACCTAAAAGATAACCCAGAAGAAAATGTGCAATATACTCTACTATTAGGTACCAAGTCTTATTTATCATTAAACTGTTAGCCTATAAATAAGCCAAGCCCAATTAAAATCAATCAAACAAAAACCATCAAGTTGAAAAACAAAGTAAAAAAAAAATGCTAAAAAGCAAAAAAATGTTTAACATTCCTTCAACTACAAATAATCCATGCCTTAACAATTAACAAATATATTACTAACAAAAGACAAATAATTATATACAAAGAAGCAACCACTAGGCCAACAGTAAACATAACAGCGATTACCCTCAGACACATACCTTAAAGAATTTGAAGAAGAGAGGCATGCTTTTAGAAAGCTGTTTTCTTAACGCCTCCAGATACTTGAGGTTTTGTTGCTGTGCGAGTCTGTGAGCGTTGGTAGTCCACAGGATCACAACAGTATCCAAAAGCCCACCAACAATAATAGGGTTGTCTAAAGAAGACTCATCACTATCTTCATCTGTCCAAGATAAAAAATTATTGATTAGTATGAAAATTTTGTAAATACTCTTTGCACAATATACCAACAACAATAAAACAACTATAAATAGCAACAGTATTGAATAACTTTGTCTAGTCAACTGAAAACTAAGGCAGGATAACCCCACTAGTAACGTAAAGTATGTTTAGTTGTCGAGACACAAATTAGACACGGACAAGATGCATAAAGGCAATTCCAGATGCAAACAGTACTTTATTATGTTTCATACAAAATTCGGAATGCCCGCTTTCACTCCACACTCCTGCACTTTTAACTTGTTACAGTGTTCATAAGATCAAATATACACATGCAAGAACAGATGAGTGGTTTTGATGCAGTCTCAATTAAAGTGGAAGAAGTCACACTACCTGTACTGTTCATGAATTGGAAAGTTGTACAATGTAAACATAAATATTTTATAGAATAATGACAAAGTCAAATAATAAATAACAAGTCAGAATCTAATGCATTCACACTAGGACATGGTGGGTGGCCACCAATGTATGTAAACAAGACTGGAGGTGTGTGTGAATGATAGACTAAATATGTCGGATTTACAAACAAATGACATTCCACGATTATTAGTCTATATTCAACGTCACTGGCTGAGAAAGCAGCAGCAGCTCAAAAGGCTAAATATAGCATTTAGTCAATATGAAATGCACCTTTCTCAACAATACCAGTGCTTGGACAAGGATCAAGATAGTCAAGCAGGCAACATTCTTAGTACAGGTGTAACAGCAAAATTGTTAAGTCACCCCAACAGGGTTATTAAAAGTACTAGTGGGCTCTGCTTTTAACTTCTCTCAAATCATTGACTTTCTTGCGTCCAATGCATTAACAGACCATTTTCTTCGTTGTGTCCGACACTTACCATGTTGGTCATTAATACTTCGAGGCTTAATGAAATTCAATCAGTTTCCCGGTTCATTTACAATAACTTTACCTTTCCCAGAGTCATTAGTCTTCACAGTTGTAGGCGAGAGGCTGCCCTGTGTCCTCGGAGCTGTAACACACATGTTAGTAACTACATATGTAGGCCCCATTACATTTTAAATCAATTTTAAAGCCAATGCATTCATTACCAAAAGGTCAATATTAATTTAAAAAGCCATGTTAAATAAGCTTAGCCATCGAATTGCCACAAGAACAGGACCCTACTGTGATGGACAATCTCAATTACAGACTGTAAACAAGATATGAAAAATTCAGAGTCAAATTTACAATATCTTAAATTTTTAATCACAAAAAAAAGTTATTTAAAAATTAATTCAGTGCTTCAGTACAGTACATCTTTAATTTATTTCTATAACTAGTTATGCTTCAATTACAGCAGAAGACAGGCCTCAACACTGTTCCCTCTTCCAGCTACATTTCACAATCCAAACAACATTAAGTTTACATCAAAAGTATCCAGTAGCCGAGTGGTCAGCACAGTCTCCTCACAACCAAAAGATCCCAGATTAAATTTCTGTGTCAAGACAGATGTTTGGGCAAATTTCCCACATAATAGTTCCCACTATAGTCATCACTTTCACCAGCACCCTCTTCTTCCTACGGCCTAATCTAGATCTCCTTCAATCTTACAGAGTTCTTTGCACACCTCCCTGTCACTTTGCAAGATCCTTTTCATAGTCTTTTAAATCAAAACTTTGCCCCTTAATGTTTGTTGTATGGCACCATACAACTACTTCACATTTCCATTTAGGCCTTGCACATTTCATGAATTTTAAGAATTTCTCCAGGTATTTAATGGCAATTCTGAAATTAGCAAGAGTAGCATAGGCTCCTCTCACTATGCTCGTTATGAAAGTTTCAATCCAATACAAACTACGCAAAGTTCTCAAGATATCACATATCTAGTATCCACGAGAATGATACTACTGTATTATTAATAATCCTGTAAGCATCCCTACCAGGTCTGCCCAACAAACATCAATATCTACTACAGTACCGTTTCCTACATTAGTTTATACTTTAACCAATTTTTTAAGTTTCTATCACATTCTGGACAGTTAATACTGTTAGGAGAACATTTGCTGTAAACGTGGACTATTTAAGAGAGGTTTACACTTTTAGAGTCTGGGGTGTATTGATTAAAATGAGCACAATTTGGCAGTCCACAAAATAATTTACATGAAATTATTTTTATTCTAGTTTCATGTACTGCCAATTCTATACTTTTCACGCCTTAATATTTTTGCCCGAAATGCTGTGTGTATTAGTGGCTTTAAGCATAGTATGTATTAGCTGTATCTAGAAATCCAACATTCTGTTTGCAACTCATTTTGAATGTATGTACTTTTATGTGAATAAACATTACTATTATTTACACAAAACACTCTTTCAATACTTTAACCGTCAACTTAACTGTTAATACTGAACTATCAACTGGTGTCAACTGAAAAATAATCAGAAACCTACATTCGGTATTTCTAGTTAATTACACAAGTCATAATTAATTATAGTGTAACTCTTGTTGTGATGCAAATAAATGTAATTATTACGTCAATTTCTCTCACATTTCCTATTCATAAATTTAATCGAGAAGCGATATGTTCATCAGAGTGGGTCCTATTATCATGCAACATGACACATGCAAGACAAGGACTACATGCAACATGACACATGCAAGACAAGGACTACATACAACGTGACACATGCAAGACAAGGACTACATACAACGTGACACAGGCAAGACAAGGGACTACATGCAACATGACACATGCATTGACGTCTCAACTTTATTCAACTATGTGCTCATTAACCCCTTCACTACTTTTCATTAATAATAGATTCCAACAATAACTGTAAAACATTTAGTGAAATCTATGTGTTTGACTCAGTTCAAACATTTATCATGGCACCCAAATCATTGTGGTACTGTATAAGAATACTGTACAGTAATTACAAAAAACTTGAGATTCAGTTTTGCATAACTATCCAGTAGGAAAATGAAACAATTTCTGAATGTTTTTGTTTTGCCACATTAAGGAATACAGCATCCCACTGTATTTTTTGATAGTGCGGTGAAACACGAAAACATTCAGATTTTTTGTTTCATTTTTCTAGTGGATAGTTATGCATCACTGTGGTATGTAGAAGCCAGAGACCAGGACATTTGACCGCCCACACACTGCCAACTTTAATTGCCTATACATCTACTCTACAAATACAGTAAGCATCTAGCTTATTTGCTTGCTCGATACCTGCTTGATGGGGTTCTGAGAGCTGTTCTACTCCCAAGCCTGGTCCAAGGCCAGGTTTGACTTTTGAGAGCTTGGTCCAACAGGCTGTTGCTAATCCTGTTATCCCAGGATAAATTTTTACTGTATTTCCCATAATGTATAGAACTATATTTTATCTGTACTTTTTCTACATTGTTAATGATAAGGCAAATCCAGCAGATAATAAATGTGAGTCTTGTGTTGGTATTTGAGAAGATTCAGAATGACCAGCAGCTAACATCAATATGTTAAACAGAACATAATGAAATTGTTCTGTATACATGTCAATATTTTCTTAATATCAATTATTGTTAAAGTTGTGATCATAGAGGAAATGGAGTCAAACCAAGTGGCACTCCAGCAAGCATGCAGGAAAATACCAGATTCATCAAAGGGTGACAGGCTATGCACTATTACACCATTCACATTACTTACATCCATGTTTTACACCCACCATATTATTAACATCCACATGCTACACATTCTAACCAGTTTACCTCAAAAAACAACAAAATAGTTTAATAAACAAAAATGTTGCTTTTGCTCAAGCAGTGAATGGGTTATACACCACAGTACTTAAAAACACTAATTTCTTGCACACACACACACACACACACACACACACACCACAACCACACGTACACCCCACCACCACCACCTACCTTGCATAAACATGCAACTTACCGAGCAACATTATAAACCATTCACTTGTTGCCCAATATACACTTATGTGAGGTTATCATCACAGGCCACAAATACACACCAAACACAAACTTGGTAATTTTGATCATAGCCAATAGGCTATGGTCAAAATACCCTATTGGTGTAGCCTAAATAGTCTTATAGATTATGATTAAAATATTGCCTATCAAATGGACATACAGCCTAATGATCACAAGTGTTGTAACGAGTACTTTGCGTGCAAGACTTAAAGGGTATCTTAATGAGTGCATGCTGCTGGGGTTAAGCGATGCAGGTTGTGGTTGTAAAGGTTATTATAGTTGCAACTTACCTAACAATGACTATGCACTATTTACTACTATTTGTGCAGTGTTTTTTTTTTTTTTTTAATGTCCATCACATTCAAGATATTTGTCATGCGTCTTAAAACTGTGGATGGAGATGGCTTCTATGACAACTACCTTTAGTGAGCTCCACTTGACCACCTGTACAGGGTATGAGAATGCCTTACCGCTTCTTTGACTTGTAGCAACTACATCAGAAATTAGGTAGCAAGCTACTTAAAACATCCCAGGAATTCCATGTACTAGTACAACAAATGACATCCACACACATTTCTTCAGAATTCCACATAATACAACTGACATCTTCCAAGAATTCAACATACTTCAAATGACATCAAGCAAATACCCATCAACCAATTAATGAGCAGTCTTGCTCTGAACCGAGTCAGGTGGATGGAAAGAGGAAACATCAAGGCAGTCTAACAGCTCGGCCAGGAGTTACACCACCTCCTACCAGCCTCGGTCCCACCAACTGTGAAGGTCTCTGTCGCCACTGGCACTCTACAGCCGTACCTCACAGCTCGTCATGTCACAACGCTATCATACCATGCATCAACCACCGCTGTAACCACTTACATCAAATGTACATCTAGTTCCCATAGTGTATGTGTGTGTATTCCCCAAACCATGTCATTAACATTACAGACTCATTTGTTACCAATTTCTATGTATACTTGCTATATATTTTCTAAATTGAAAGAGGTTGTTCTTGTCTACCTTTTCTATTACCCCTCAGCATCTTGTGTAGTAGTAGTAGTAGTAGTAGTGGTAATAGTAGGCATCCATTAGTCTCGGAAGACTATGGAGTCTTGCTCTGGTTGTCTGTCTGGAGTGGCCTCTCCAAGGCGCAAAGCCAGGTTACGTCGACAAGAGGGGAAAAGCTGTCACCCATGCAGCAGGTTCCTCCTCTCCACAGCACCGAAAGTCTCCAATGGAAAGGCAAACGCCAATACGATTGGTTCCAGCTCCGTCACAGCAACTGTCAGAACAAGGTTGAAAGCAACAACCTGTGTAACAATCTGGTATTCCTTTTGGTTCCGTTTTCCTCTAGGGTTGCGAGATTTGATTTTCTTAAACCACTCCTCACAGCCTCATAGCTCTCTTAATTCTGGCACTAATCTTGTTGCAAACCTCTGCACTAGACTTCAGTTTTGGCTTTATACTTCACAATGTGTAGATTCTATGCCATTACTGCATATTCTAACATTGGCCTTGCAGAGGCTGTACAAACCGTCTTGAAAGAGAGCCCTTATTGAGGTTTTTAAATACCATTTTAATGGTTACTTGCTTTCCGTATGCTGCTTAATACAGTAGTATTCTACTTGTATTTGTTGCTTTTGTTAGTTATGCAATTATGTCTACTTCAGACTTTTCCCTTTCCAATTCCTGTAGTTTCCCTTCACTTATGGTATAGATTCCTTCTAGTCCAATATCTCCCTTTCCCAGTTTTATTACCTTAAACTTATTGAAGGTGAAGCATATTTTCCGATTTTTAGCAACAATAGATTATGCCGCCAACCACTATCAAATTTATTAGCTCCATGTGCCTATTTTATGATGACCTCGTTGGGCATTTTGTAATTTATAAATATCTTCATGAATATAACACTATCACTGTGCACAGCCGAAGGGTTAAATCTAATTAATTATCGAATGCGATGAAATATTAAGTGCACAGAATAAAATAAAAGCATTATATTTCTTTGAATTTGAATAAAGTAATACCAGTCATAAAGATAAAAATAAAGTTTTCTTAATTTATCATTCAAGCAAGCTCTGAAGCCTCGTAATTCTAGCATAAGCCACAAGAGAGCTTCATAAGCAAGCTAAGATAATTATACATGCAATGTAAATCAAAACCAAATTTTTTAATTGTTATTCAAGTTATAGCATGCTTCAAGAAATTTCTAATGCATAGAAACTCACCCCCACCTGTATTTTCTTTATTGGCAGCAGGAATAGCAGAGGAATCGCCATCCCCTGGAGAAGCCCTACGAGCTCCTTTCAGATAGATCCGGTCTCCTGGGTCTGGTTGATCTTCAGAACTTGTGTTGTCCTCCCTCTCACTCTCTGTAATATACACACAGTATAACCATTTACTTGGCACTAAGGCTGGAGAAAAGACGTAATAAAAAGCCTCAAAATAGCACCGAAACGGAGTGCAGTTTCCCCTAAACACAATACAGTATATCAAGATTTGTATGTACGTTGCCTACTAGACAAGCAATTGGGCACAGTGGTTATTACAACACTAAGTATAGGTTACAAAGTTAAAAAAAAAAAAAGGTTAAAAACAAAAAGGTTAAAAGGTTTAAAGGTTAAAAACACTAGGGTTATTACAACAAACTTCAAGTACAATCACAAACCTTCATGGGAATCCTCATTCTGTCGAGCCAATATAAAGTTCCGAAGACAACGCCATATTAACAACATGAAGTGGACAGTGCTGTTCAAGTCCAGCTTGCGGCTTGCATACCTATAAAATCGGCGAGCTGCCGCCCGATTCTCCTCCAATAATGCCAGAGACCGTTTAAAAAGCTCCTGCAACAACATTCAAACATTATTCAATTTATTAGTCTCTATAATACCATGTGCCCTCTGAAAGATGCTCTTACACAGATCCATATGTTAAATATTTTAAAATAAAACTCAATTTACAAATAATTAGTGAAATCAATGTTTTAGGAAATACTTTAGTACTGTACTTGTTATCTCACTGAATAATGGGATATGGGCAGATGCACACAAAACATGCCCTCAACTATTGCTATTACTTGGAGCTTGAGCTCTGAATGCTACACATCTATAATTCTAGTCTACACTGCCATTTCTTTACAGACGTTCATCATATCAGAGAAGGGCAAAAATTATAGAACATATTGACTGCTGTACATGAAAAATTACCATGTATTTTCTGAACATTTTATTGTACAACTGCTTGCCGTTATCATTGCTTGGTTTATCACAGTCTTGGGGTTCAAGGGAAGGACACTTGGCAGAAAAGGATGGAAAGGATTGCAAGAAATAACCTGAAAATAAATATTTTCTAGATTCCCACTTACAATACTAGCATTACAATACATAAAAGTATCTCCATCCAAACAAATTCACAGCAATATCTGCCATTTTAAAACTGTCAACCAACCTGGTCTTCACGATGGACAGGATGGAAGGAACTGAGCAAGAGTTGGGTAAGCAACTTGCAAACTACAGGTTTGTCTTCCTCTAGCCGATGCAGAAGATGATGCACAGGAACTATTTCCCAGTACCTTTTGGATGAAGAATTATAATATAAAATTTTTAATACAATATTTTTTGATTTGCCTTATTCTATACTGAAGATGTCCACCCATCATCAACTTTAAAACACACACACACACAATCCATGACATTAGTGCCTTACTTTATTCTCATAAACACAAATTAGGCTCTTCACATTATCCATTTTTTGCTGCACTAATTCATGATTTTTTCCCCACACACCACACGACAGTCCTACACTCAAACATAATAAAGCACTGCCACGTCTTCATGCAACCCTCGGACTACATTATCATCTTACAATAATCTATTGTTTTATAACAAAGGTTGTCATTACATTGCCTAACATAAAATTAGGTACAAGTCAGGAATTTATGTAGGCAATATAATATGCTAACATTTTTAAAGGGCCAAAAAATTTTGAAACATTTAAAATATGCAAAATTGGGTCGAGCTTTTCTCCAGTGCCTCTAACATCTTTGTGGAGATATAAAAAAGGAGCCGTTTCATACGAGTCAATAGGCTTTCTGCAGTTGGTTTTTATTCTCATGTTATTAACAGTATTTTCTGTTACCTTTCATATTGTAAGATGAATGTTACTCAAGCCAAAATGTCAAGTTTGATTTTGACTGTATGTACACCTGTTTAGGTCAGCCAGTGGTGTGATGATTTGTACAAGTTGTTGCAGAGATAGTTTTAGTCTCAATTTGACAACTGTATTGATTTTACAATCTTTAATAAATGTAGTTTCTACATCTAACTAATTCTAGAGTATACAGTTTATAATTAAAGATTTTACATGTTATATTATTAATATTATTATGATTTTTTCTTAGAGAAACAATTTACTCTAAATGTGCCAACTAACCCAACTATAAATGTACAAAACATATATGAATAAAATATTTCAATATGTACACTAGAAGCAGTATAATAAAATCCTACCTGATAACCTTTGAAGATTTCACCTTCAACAATAACTTGACGAAAGCAACACGAACATTTGCACTAATATCGTCAAACACATCTCCAAGGCGAACCAAGACTTCAGTAAGGAACGGCACAGTCTCTTTAAAGTCCAGAAGCAGGGTCAGACCCTGAAACAAATTTATTAGTCTGTAAAAAATTGGCTTAGATTCAGTATTATTCGATAGAGCTTCAGTCTCACACACGCGTGGGGTCCACGGTTCGAGTCTCCTAGAGCCCTGGGGCCAGATTCATGAAGCGGTTACGCAAGTACTGTATTTGCAAACGTGTACATCTTTCCTCAATCTTTGATAGCTTTGGTTACATTTATTAAACAGTTTACATGCATTAAAACTTCCCAATCGACTGTTATTGTTATAAACAGCCTCCTGGTGCTTCGGAGCTCATTACCCATTTAATAATTGTAAACAAAAGCCGCCAAAGATTGATAAAAGATGTACAGGTTCGTAAGTACTCGCATAACTGCTTTGTGAATCTGGCCCCCAGGTGAATGGAATGTTAGGCTGTAATTATAAACTGTGATGAACATTTATGACTTATTTATCAAATGCGACATATACAAAACATTTTAATAAAAAACAAAAAGACCAACACCTATATAAGAACAGGAAGTTTTAAATACAAAAAACACTACAGCCGAGCATATCATGAGATACTGAATACAGAAATAATGACCAGGTGATGTCATTTTAATGAGGATAGTCATTAGAATTAAATACAAAAAATTTAACCATTAAACAAATCCAAACTTTACCTGTCTAATAAGCCGATTTAAGTAACATTTTTGGCATATACAATAATTTGTGCATTGTATTTTAACTACTAAAATTTTGGTTACCTTTCATGTATAGTATCGAGTTTGTAATTATTAATATACAGTAAAATATTTAACAAAGCTATATCATCTAACCTGGCATCACAGTGTTATGATCTGTTAACACACAAATAAACCACTTGCAAACCTTGATAACTTGAGTGCGAACTTCAGCTGATGACGCATCATACACGAGATCTGACAGCAGCTTTTGGAAAATGGCCTTTATGATGTGTGATGGGATCATGAGCCAGTAGTCTGCCAAGATATTAAACACACCCTGCAACCAAAGTTTGCAAAAATCATTGAAAAATAAACAAAAAATAATAAAATACGGTACTATTATTCATGGGGAATTTTAATATTATTACATAATAAGTTGCCAAACAAAATTTAACCGTTTCTCTTCATTCTCCTAAATTATTGCAAAAACTAACCAATTTTGCAGCCCTCTTCCTACTACCTTAAATTCCCTCAATATATGTTATGGTCACCACCTCATGTCCACTCAACACGACATGATTCTAGCACACTATCACAATGCTGGGAGTCGAAGGCTTCCTCATAGCCCATCTTTCACTAATAATTCATTTCACATTGCACAAGCCATTATCCATCTGATGTGAACCTCACTTACCCTGATTGCAGCGATGCGAGCAAGATGGCAAGGATCAACAAGCAAGGTGATAATTGCTTGGTATTGTCTCTCTTGCAGGTCACTCTTCTCTTCTTGAGTAAAGGTACTATCGGTAAGTGGAAAAGCATCACACAGGAGCGAGATGGCATTCGTACGCACAAGACCATTAGCAGCCTACAAATGTAAAATTTAAAGTAAGAAAAAGTTTAGAAAGAATGAATGTTAAAAATAACATTGTTTTTGTCTCTTCATAGCAATAATTGGGTATCTAGTTAACTTGACTGGTAGGTCATGTTTCACGGAAATCTGGTGGGTAGGGTATACCATGAGGTATGGAAAGGAAAAGCCCACAGCCTGCTAACAGGAGTCAGAAGTCGTCTGTTTCTGCTCCCACTTGTGTTAAAGCATAAGTCATACTAGCTTCTTACCTTACTTTCTTGTTAATATTTATCCAACTTCAGTAAAGAAATCCATTAGTTAAAATCTTAAAGATAGAAAACACAAATTCATGGTCTTTTGCAAGCCTATTATGAAAAACAATAAATTTGTATTTACACGCAGAGTATAGTTCCCCCACGAATTATACCAATTTCTCTTAATAATCATATTTGATGGAAAAAATGGTACCGTTTTATTTCCGAAAAAAAAAAAAAAAAAAAATTGAGCGAGAATACCCGTGATCAGCGAGAGAGAATTCCAGCTTCATTCTGACAATCCAGTACTGTACTTAAATCTGCAGATGACAGTCACCAGTAGGGCACTGCTGTCAACTCCTCTTATTAAAACTAACAGACTCTCACCTTTAGAGATCGCCAAATGAAGGGGTCATAGAGAGAATAAATGGTTGTTGCTACAGCATGATGCCTCTTTTGACGATGAATTTGATGGAGCAGATGATGAAGATTTGCAGACAGTCGACCAGTCGTCGGGTCCACATGGACAGCAGCATACATTAAATCCTGTATGCACTCTTCCTCCAGAGCCTAAAATAAAATAAAAATTAATTATTCTAGGATTTTCTGCAATTTTCACTTACAGTACACTGTACTAAATCATAGCATCTTGTATAAAATTTGTAAACTGTGGAATTTTATATTATACTGTACCTCCATCCCTCTTTACACTGATAAAATGATTGTTGTAACAATGACACTTCCATCTTTTAGACTAATTTATTAAAACTTGCAATGCCACCTTGCAATGACCAACTGGCACAGTAGGCTTTTCTCTAGGGTGCCACTTCCTATTATGGGGTGCTGGTGGCTCAGTTGGCAGAGCTGCGGGTAGCTGCTTTTGTGTTCTGCAGTTCAAGGCTCCGATAGTCCGAGTGAATGAAACATATATGCAGTAACCCAACATGTGAAAAGGGAGGAAAATGACAATGCTTCAGCTTATCTTGGACACCTATCACAACTTATAAGGGTCGAGGATAGCCCTAAACGTAATCATTTCCCTTTTCAATATTATAAAACATAAAATATACATTATAATTTCCTAATACAAATGAAAATATAAGTGTCAACAACAATGGCTGAACAAGAATCTCCAAGCAAGGCAAGCAATAAAGTTCTTTCGTAAAATTCAACAAATTTACTAAGGTCCTAGTCACTGGGTAGCTTCCATCTTATCAATTTGCTGCTAGAAAATATATAATACCATACATTATGCCAAAAATAAAATATTACTTATAGTTTTAAAAGTAATATTTAACACTTAAATAAGTGAAAAAGATTGATGGTCGTACAAACCCTACAAAGTACACATTCCCGGACACCAAGGTGTCATAGTCTCGATAACTAGGCACGTAAAGTTGGAAGACATATATAATGTTGGCACAGAGCAAACATAAAATAATACATGCAACAAAGTGAACCAGTATTGAAATATTTTATGCTTAGAATTAAATGTGCCACTGCATGCAGATAGCTTGAAATATTATCTTGAAAAAGAATTAGGCCAACCAAAATAAACATGGCATAAAATTGTGCCTTTCCAAAACCAAGATACCCAATTTTCTCTTCAGATACTAAAAAGATATACATACCACCTTAGCATCTCCCTTGCTAGTCTTCCAAGCACGAAAATAGACTTCAGCATACTTTTCACACTGGAGTTTTGTGCATCCTGGAAGTACAGTTTTTATTTTCCGATGGAGACGAGAAATAAGCGAGCGTGACGAGAACAATGTTGCAAGCCATTTCACACCCTCATCACATGTCAGGAAGATCGCAGCTGCAGCACAAGCAACCAGCTGTTCGACAAACGGCTCATAATTAGGATCGTCAAGCTCGACCAACTGAAGAGCCTCGCGTAGTGACCACAGTCTTATCACATCTTTCCTCTGTTGATATATGAAAAGCTTTAGTTTATAATGAAAAAAATAAACGACATTGTTAAAATAATTTTGTATAATGAGCAACACTTACGTCAGTTACTATAGGATTTTAGACAAGCCTAGTTAGAAGCACTCGGAAGCAAGTAGATGGGGGCATATATAGCCTGTGTATGTAGGCATTTTATAAATTATTTACTTTGCAATAAATTCAATTATAATACCGTACTTATAAATCTATCCCACACACCCAAACCCACATCCCAATTTTGAAAGAAAATTTTTATTAAATTGATAGTTAAAAAACAGTACAGTATTGCAGAATATTCAAGTGTAAACACCAGAATGTTTTTAACATTTGCAATTTTTTGATGTAAAGCAGAGAAGTGCATTAAACTTGTATACTACTAAGTCAGCCCAAATATTAAGGCCCATTTTACATGTTTTTTTTAATTTAATCATATGTTCATAGGCCAATACAGTACAGTAATATTCTAAAGGATTTCAGCATTCAAAATTGCTAAGTATCTTTTTGTTTTAAACAGGTAGCAAATATTTGAGAGGGAGGCAATGTCTAAAACATTTACAAAGTTACCAAGTCAAATATCTTAAAAACTTTTTCTTAATTTATATTCATTATAAACTAGCATAATTATTTACAAATTTCCCTAAAATTAATTTAAAATTTAGAGAAGCAAAACAAATTAATACACCTCAAGTTGTGTGTAAATTTTGAAGTCCTTTTAGGTGTTGCTGTGAGGGGGGGGGGGGAAGTAAACTTACTTTTGCACCCTTGCTCGTAGCAACATCTAGTAGAATAGGCAAGACATTGAGGACAAGATGCTCACGCTCTTCAAGCCCCTTAAGCCACCAAAGCTCACATAAGGAGGCAACTCCTGCTTGTACTCGACCTTTAAACACCCTCGCCATCCCATGTAACAACACTAGAAAAAAACAATTTCAATTTAACAGTTTCTCATCACTGACTCGAACTTTGTTAATTCTAATCGATACGATGTCATAGCGACATTTTTCGTCTATAAAAATGAACGAGGGTGTACATTCCCAGACAACCCATGTAAAGTAGTGTGTGTGTGATTGGGAAATCCCAATTTTTGATTGCTGCCAAGAAATTCTCTTAAATTGGGAATTCCTGATTTAAAGATAGTGTACAATAGCTTATTAGATTAGAGGACAGGCATGTCATTCTATGTAGAAACCTTTCTGATGAAACCTAAGGGCAGATGCAAACGATAGTCATATCGGGGGAAATTAAAATTACTCTCCGATTCATATGCTAGTAAGATGGTTTAACTTTGCCAATTAAATATAAACAAGACCTCGGTTAGCAGGCAAGAGAAAAGGGGTCAAGTTATAAAGTTAGGAAATAGTAGAATTACAGACTTAGTTTGAGCTCATACTGATAGTCACCAAACTCAATGTGCAATTGTAGGTATGGCTGAAAAGCTTAGAGCATTAAGAAATTTCATGGGTAACCTTCCTGTAGCTTACTACCAAAGAATACTATATACTTTGTTACCAAAGTAACACTACTGGATCAGTTTCACAATTCCTATTGTTAAAGAGCCAAGGAGTATAAAATTATTAAAAATAATGGGTGCAAGGCCAGACAAGGCTCAAGCATTGTTTTTTAGATACAGCCCCAGATCACCTTGTATTAATAATCCAATATCTTCTGATGCACAAATATAATTTTTACCTTTACCACCACAAATTTAATTAGAAGTTTTATCAATTTCATAAAACTCACCAGCTAATTCCATCAACGTATCTGGGATGAAAATGTCTCCATCTTTGAAAGATTTTATGTAGATGTGAGCAAACTCCAGTACTCCTTCCATCAGTTTTTCATTGTATGGTTCACATGGTTCCTATAGAGATTATACACACATTTTAGAAATTTACATAAAGCCAATGAAATTTATATATTTAATGCAAGGTATTATAAATCCAAGAATATAAGTAGGAAACTGCAGAAGATTTGTAGGCTCATAAGAGTCGGCTCATAATTATATATCCACCCAAGCTCATTCATATTCTGTATATGTCACCTACGCTTGACACAATCCAGCAATCCCACTTCTCATATTATCTGGTAAATTATTTCATAAACCAACCATTGTATTTTCAAACCCGTATTTAACCCCATAAGTGTAAAAAACACAGAACCCTAACTAGTGAAATATTAGTTGACCATACATACATACCATAGCCTGTGGCTCATGTTGGCTGTGTGCCGAGCTTGCAATCTTTGTTGGTCCTGTGTGACCCGTCTTGTGCGTATCGTCTAATTCATCCCCAGCTGCCACTCGTTGACCACTCTCCACTTCTTCCTCGGACTCGTTTACGCCAACTAGTTTGTTTAGTTGTTCATTGACCCAAGAGTGAAGACTGTTCCATATCTTCTCATGTTGTGCTCGATTTAATTCTATTACAACCTCTTCCAAGTCAACAGTGCTACGTTTACTTCCCTAAAAAAATAAGGCACCAAATCAATGTGAAAAGCATCTTTCTTAGCACAATCATTCATTTGCTCTAATGTAGCCCCTAAGTATTCAATACTTATTCACATGCTCACAAACTCACTCGCACTTGGCAATACTGACATGTAGGTTCAGTGCTGTTCTGAACATTTCCAGAGCTCTTGACACTCCTCAATACACAGGAATTACTGTTACATAAATTAAATGTATTCTTTAATACAGTATTAGAAATCAAATATTTCCTAACTACTGTACTATATTTGCCTGTCAATAACAGCTTGTTTGCATGTTAACAGTTTTCAATACTATTTTTTTTTGACAAGTACAGTACAGTATAATAATCTATTAGCATCACATCCATACCAAGGAGGAGGATATAATTTCCAGTAATGTATTTGACAATAGAGGTATAACACTCACCTGTTCTATGATGGCTACCACATGGTAACCATATAATAATTACCACAGTCAATGCAATTTGAACAAAAAATACACAATATTGTACATTATAAATTTTAAGTGTTGAGAGTGACGAGATTTATATAGAATTGAAAATTCTACTGGTGTACGAGATAAGTTTTAAGAACATTTTACAAAGAAAAGTAGTTATGGTAGAGAGAGAAGGAAATTATGTGAAACAAATGTAAATGGTGAGGTGTTGTTTTTAAATTTAAATATCCAAAATGTACACAGGACTAAAATAAAAACGAGTATTGAAAGTCGAGTAGGATGAACCAGGGAAGGAAAAGTGGCCGGTGTGATGAAAGTTTTGGTTAGAAAAGATAAAACAGAAATACGGTAGAGGTTATCTTGATATGATTTCGGGGCTTTTAGTGTCCCCGCGACCCAGTCCTCGACCAGGCCTCCACCCCCAGGAAGCAGCCCGTGACAGCTGACTAACACCCAGGTACCTATTTACTGCTAGGTAACAGGGGCATAGGGTGAAAGAAACTCTGCCCATTGTTTCTCGCCGGCACTTGGGATCGAACCCAGGACCACAGGATCACAAGTCCCACGTGCTGTCCGCTCGGCCGATCGGCTCCCCTACAGAGGCTACAGTTCTGTACAAAGGCATTTAAAGTATCAATTCAAAGTACAGAACTACGCTTGGATGCATGAAAATCTTAAGGGACAAAAGTGTCCCAAAAAAGAGCTCCAGTTTAAGTGATACAGTGATATACATGTACTGTACATGTTACAGTCCCGAGGGTGAAGCATACTCCACTACCACTGTCATAACACCCTCACTCAACACAACACTGTCAAAGGCAGACCTGCCATGTGAGTCAGTGCCACTTGATGTTCCTGAAGACCATGGCCATGTTGAAAAAAAAAAAAAAAAGACTCATATTCAGGATTTAGTGAGGTGGAATCTGAGATTAGTTTAAGCATTTGTGTGGCAAGTGGGTGTTGCATGGTATAAACAGTGGCAGAGCCCATGGTTAAGACTAGACTCCAAATGTAACATTATCACTGGCTCTATATTCTTCATAAAAGTTGTGCTATAAATAATTAAAAATATTTTTATAATAAGGCTATGAATGGCCATGAGTACAGTATGTGCATTTTTTTTTAAAAGCTCATGAAACCAGTTGAAATTGTTAATAATAAAAAAGTCGCTACACATAAATAAAAACTTACATGGTTCTGAATGAGAGTAATAAATTGAGCATGATGGCCATCTTCCACTGCTGCCAGGAACTCCTGTTTAGCCATCTCGCACAGTAACACGTAACCTGATGACATCAACATCCATGATTATAAAATGAAATTCTTAAAAATTCTCCTAAAATAATATTAATCTGAAAAAAGAATTCTGCATTAAGCAAAGAATGATAAAATAATAACCCTTGCCCTATCACTGGAACTGTCCAACATTTATAATTTTAAGAACCTAATTTATTTTGCCAAATTCAATAGTGTATATTAATGTCAGTAAATGAACAGGCTAAAATGCATTATAATACAGGACTGTATTGTGTTAATATACATGTAATAATAATACATAGGCATATTTTTATAAATATGACTATGGCTTCCAAACAATGCCAAAATATAATGAGATATAATGTTATCATATAGCAAAGCCGCTCATCTCTCGTTGACTGCCAGTCTCCAGACACTTGCACAAAAAAAAAAAAAAACTTATGCCATCAACTGCACATTGAACAAAATTACAAAATGCCAGGAAATCCTTGAATGAACTCCAAAACACACATTGAAACATTATATATACTTAAGAGAAACCTGTTAAAGTAAGTTAAATTTTCTGTAATTTTGTGCCTGGTTTTATGAAAATCTTTTTTTCAACCATTTTTCAACCTTTTTCAGCATCTTTCTTTTCAACCAATTTATTGAGGCTTTTACTTTATTTAATTTATTCCCTTTTATTTGCAGGCTAATGTACGGAGATTAGTATGTAGGATAATACTGTACTGGGACACACACACAAAAGTTCATTATTGCCAAATGAACTATGTCCAGACAGTGGTACCAAATTTCCATTTCCAGAAGCTAGAACAAATTATGTACAAAACAGTACGTATATTGTCTGCAAATCAATTAAAAATGCCTTCCTCCCCTATACAATTGTGTACTATACAATAACATCTTATTAAAATAAAAAAACACTAGCTGAATTAAAGCATAAGCAATTCCTTCTTACTGAATTAAGCATTCCTTAATCTACAAAACATGAGAAATAATTTTATTATTAAATATTAAAGAATCATTGAGAATCTGAAATCATGGTAAATTTCTCTTGACTAATAGTTTCGGATTCTTCCGATCCTTGATGCCAATTCCAATTAATCATCCCAGCACTAATTTGTACCTAATCTATTATCCATCATGACGGAACTTGCAGCACAAGAAATCAATTAGGAATAGCTATTGTTAATTTTTACAAGCTCAAATCTGGTAAACAAATCTGTTAAACTCCCCAAAAAATGGAGTTGGGTTATCAGGCACAGTACATTAGCAGTCAGTCGTACCCAATATTCAACTCCAGACAGGAATACTGTACTTCCTCCTACAGAGCCAGACACATTGAACCAGGTCTTCCTCCAGTCCAGCACTCATAGAGCCCGACCAACAACCAGTGACAGGTCCTCCTCCACACCCCGACCAACAGACACCGTCACAGGTCCTTCTCCACACCCCGACCAACAGACACTGTCACAGGTCCTCCTCCAGACCCCGACCAATACTCACCAAGCCAGGTCCTCCTCCACAGCTCAACCAACACTCACCGAGCCAGGTCCTCCTCCACAGCCCGGCCAAGTGGTACTCGAGCTACGCACCACAAAAGTTTCGCGGTGGTCACCGTTCAAAAGCTGGTGGTGTTCCAACGTTCCGCCGCCGCCACCTCAACTTATCAACACTCTCCCTTCAGAAACGATCAAAATAACACCAATATATCCACTGTCACGGCAAACAGCTTCTTAATTTATAGTTAAATAAATTTATTTTCCAATTATTCTGCGAGCATTAATATATTTTAATTAATTTAAAGAATAATTAATGTGAAATAATAACATCGCCATTTGCCAGTGGTTGAGATGAGCAGCCGCTGGGGGGGGAGGGGGGAGGGGAATTTCTCATATGTATTTATTTACATATTTATATATTGAAATTACACGTTGGCTCCCATATGTTGTTAGAAACAACTTCTTCCATTGAAAATATAGGTCTAAGACGAGATAAATACTCGATATTGAAAGGAAAGCATTATATTGTATTAAAAATTATGATTGTAATTGTTATTTTGTATCGGTTTATATATATATATATATATATATATATATATATATATATATATATATATATATATATATATACATATACATATATATATATATGTCGTACCTAGTAGCCAGAACTCACTTCTCAGCCTACTATGCAAGGCCCGATTTGCCTAATAAGCCAAGTTTTCATGAATTAATGTTTTTTCGTCTACCTAACCTACCTAACCTAACCTAACCAAGCTTTTTTTGGCTACCTAACCTAACCTTACCTATATATATAGGTTAGGTTAGGTTAGGTAGGGTTGGTTAGGTTCGGTCATATATCTACGTTAATTTTAACTCCAATAAAAAAAAATTGACCTCATACATAGTGAAAAGGGTAGCTTTATCATTTCATAAGAAAAAAATTATAGTAAATATATTAATTCAGGAAAACTTGGCTTATTAGGCAAATCGGGCCTTGAATAGTAGGCTGAGAAGTGAGTTCTGGCTACTAGGTACGACATATATATATATATATATATATATATATATATATATATATGTCGTACCTAGTAGCCAGAACTCACTTCTCAGCCTACTATGCAAGGCCTGATTTGCCTAATAAGCCTAGTTTTCATGAATTAATGTTTTTTCGACAACCTAACCTACCTAACCTTACCTAACCTAACGTTTTCGGCTACCTAACCTAACCTAACCTATAAAGATAGGTTAGGTTAGGTTAGGTAGGGTTGGTTAGGTTCGGTCATATATCTACATTAATTTTAACTCCAATTAAAAAAAATTGTCCTCATACATAATGAAATGGGTAGCTTTATCATTTCATAAGAAAAAAATTAGAGAAAATATAATAATTCAGTAAAACTTGGCTTATTAGGCAAATAGGGCCTCGCATAGTAGGCTGAGAAGTGAGTTCTGGCTACTAGGTACGACATATATATATATATATATATATATGTGATATATATATGTGATATATATAATATACATATATATATATATATATGTGATATATATATGTGATATATATAATATATATATATATATATATATATATATATATATATATATATATATATATATATGTGTGTGTGTGTGTGTGTGTGTCGGCAGAAGTATATTGGCAGCAGGTTTTCTTTTCAACATGTCTCATTGAATATGACCGCATATTCAGTATTTACTATCTTCTGGTTCAGAGCTTCTATCCCTATAACTATTTACTTAGCATCAGGGCTTAGCTGAAAGAGGAGTTCTCCAAAACTCATTTTCGTTATTTCAAGGTGAAGAAAAAAAGTTAATTACTATAGAATGTATTGCACTTATTTATACAATTAGCACAACGTTTCGAACCTCCATGGTTCATTCGCAAGTGAAATTAAATTACAGGACTCGTTGATTTATACCTGTACGGGGTCAAGTGATAAACGTAAAAACAAGGGGGATAAATGGGGGGACGAAGCACATAAGAACATAAGAATAAAGGTAACTGCTGAAGGCCCATTGACCCAGACGAGGCAGCTCCTATTATACAAAGATTAATCAGGTGTAATTGGCCTCTTATGTTGAACAGTGTCTTCTGTGTTGGCATCGTCAGGTTCTGGTCTTGTACTTACTAGTTTCGAGCCTTAACATCTTAATATTAGGATAATCACGTCATATCTGCATTAAAATCAGTGTGCAATTCCGGTTTTGGCCTCCACCGCCTTCTCACTTGTTCCCCTGTAACTTGTAACTCACTTGTAACACTTGTATGCTGTGCTTCCTATTTTAACCAGCTATGTTAAATGAGATTCTTGTATTGTGATTTGTGTATTTGTACTCACTGAATTTGTGCGCCCCTTGAGGGACTTGAAGTAGAAGGGGGGGGGGGGAGTAGAAATAGCCTTAGCTACTCTATTCCTTTGAGATGTATTTTTTTTATTGTCTCAATAAACATACTTGAACTTGAAGTGAACTTTAATGTTTTTCGGCAGCTTTATTTCCTTAGTTTCCGAGCTGTTTTCTTTACCGTGTATGTTGTAATAAACTATTCCTATATATACAGTTGTTTCTCCCTGTGAAGATTATTAAACAATGGTGATTATAAGGGCGCGGAAGTTCAGCCTGGCCATCAGGGCCTCCAGCAGCCCTTGGGCCCGCCCGGGCAGCACCCAGTCTTTAATTTGGCACCTTTGTGGCACCTTTGTATAAGCCTACCAAGTATATATACACTGGCTGCCTGTCTCCCTACACAATGATTTATTATTACCTATTATTTTATCATTTAATTTAAATATTAAATAAAATAATTAATTTAATTATTATAGTAAGTACTTAATAATTTAATAATAAGTAGTAAGTACATAAAAATGATTAAAAAGTACAGTTTAGTCATAGGAGATTCCTAGATTGGAATTCACTACCAAATTTCAATATATCCAAGTATTTTTAGTGTGAAATGCTGTTATTAGATGCATAAATTGTTGTTTAAATAATATTACGCTTAACCACTTGGGCTGGACGGTAGAGCGACGGTCTCGTTTCCTACAGGTCAGCGTTCAATCCCCGACCGCCCAAGAGGTTGTGCACCATATCTTTCCCCCGTTCCATCCCAAATTCGTATCCTGATCCCTTCCGAGTGCTATATAGTTGTAATGGCTTGGCGCTTTCACTTGATAGTTCCCCCACCCCCCTGAATAATATTACGAGAGCAGTATTTACGGGCTATTCATGCCCGTGCCACCTCTTGGGTGGCTTAATCTTGATCAATCGAGAGCAGTACGTCCTAACCAGACGTTATATGATGATATCCTGAACAATTGATAAATAAAAGTAATTGCGGAACTCCAGTTATCTAATACTTATCATAAATGGTATAAAACCTTATAATAAGCCAAGGGATTTATGGATCAGTGTTTAAAGGGAATTCGGAAGTAATAATGATACAGCTGATGCCATCTGTCGGCAGACGAGAACACTATCAACTGGCTGGTCAACAGTGGCCATAAGGTACAGCTTACGCCATCTGTTGACATCAAATTACACTTATAACAAATTACCCCACAAAATACCACTAGCGCCATCTCTTTTTTTTCCAACGCACTATAAATAGCCAAACAGCAACCCATAAGGCGGGTTGTTGTGCTCGGGTAGGAGGTTCCTAGCTCCGCCCACAGATGGTATGGGGTGCATAATAAATGGCAACAATGTCTTTGTTGACATTCACACAACAGCCAATCACAGGAAGGGATCAGCTAAAGGCTCCATCCACTTAATAAATCATCTTTATTCAGCACACCATCCTTGCTTATGACATTCTGCTTCAACTTTAATCTACCTAAAAAGTGAAATGTTAAGTATTTAAAAGTATTACTATAGTATTAATTAAATACTGCAGGACGTAACGAGTGTTACAGAAACATGGGCTGGCTACCTAGCTTGTGACGTCTTTAAGAGGGTGTTGCCTCACACAAATAATATCGGCGATACAATGCTTCCGCCCTCTTATTTTTCTACATTATTCAGTTAGATGGAAATTTCTGTCTTGTATAAAACAGAAATTGTTGTTCTTTTGTACAACAACAAGGTTATTGTGAGCAAAAGGACGTATTTCTTATTTTGCTTTTTATTCATATAAGCGTTGGCATTCCCCGCAACAGCCAATCACAAGAAGGTATTTGTTGGAAACTCTGTCTTCAACAAAGTTGATTCCTAATGAACTCTAACAATAACAGGCTTGGGTACAAATATTACTGGGAATATGGGATAGGTGTTCACGATAATGACACGAAGTGTAAACTATGTGGTATGTTAAGGTCTCACACCCTTGCCCATTATGTTCTTGATTGTCCCTTGATTAATGTATATAGAAACACTGAGATAAGGACTGTTTCTGAGCAAATAGCCTGGATGTGTCACAACGGAAAGGTTGATGATATTCTTGAGAGATATAAGAATTTTGCACCAAGACTGTAATTTTTTGTTGAATTATCTGCATGTCTCTTGCAAATTGTCTATACAGTATACCTAGGTCATAAAAGTATTTGTGTGTACGTCTGATACCATACTACTTGTGTAAAGGAGGAAATGTATATGTTTATCTCTCAGAATGTTTGGTAATATGTTTATTGTTTGTGATGTGTGTATATGTATGTATTAACACGAAGTACTGAACGGGGTGAGAATAGCTTGAGCTACCTCATCCCTCTGTGTGTATTTTACATCAATAAACTTATTTCAATTTCAATTTCAATATATCTGACAATACGGTGTTGATGTCAGTGAAAAAAGATAAGGAGTGTAAATTATGTAGCATGCCGCACGGCCACACCTTAGAACATTATGTATTAGAGTGTCAACTTATTGATAACTATAGAAATAAGGAAATAAGCAGTGTACCACATCAAATTGTTTGGATGTGTGATAATGGTATGATAGACAGTATACTTAGGAGCTACAAGAATTTTGCCCCAAGAATGTAACAATTATATGCTGTACTTACTATATTAACCTGCAATGTTAAATGGGATTCTTGTAATGTTATTTGTCTATTTGTACTCACTGAATTTGTGCGCCCCTTGAGGGACTTGAAGTAGAGGGGGGAAGAAATAGCCTAAGCTACTCTATCCCTTTGAGATGTATTTCT